TTCATATTTGGTGGCTAACTTGTACACATTGGAAAATTCTTTGGTAGGTAGCCAAACTTTGAACATATTGTTCTTGAAACTCAACTATAAATAGGCCTAAGTATTTCCATTAGAAATCATCCCAAAAACATGTTCTCTCTTCCTCTTGTATTCTTCATTCTCCCACTTTGGGAATTCCAAAGAATTCCATTTGTTGTAATATTGGCGATATAGTGAAGTTATCATCCGGTGTGGTGCCCGAGGAGTAGACGATATTCTCGTCGAACCTCGTAAATTTGGTATGTTCTCTCCTTTATTGTTTTTTATTCGGTTCTTTTCCATTGTATTTCAATATTCAATAGTTTGATAGGTTTATCCGCTGTGCAACCTTTGGTGGTTTTAATCTTGACATTTTAGGTCAATTTTAAAAATACGTTCGTGTGGGAAATAACCCGTTTTCCCCAACACAAACAACGTTATGGGAAGGCACACGATGCTGAAAGTCTGAAGCATCACCCACTTAGCCGACCAGATTTCCACGTTCCTCTGATTGAAGTACATCTGCACTGGAAAATATATTGATAGAGGCCAAAAGTAAATACCTCCCTGCACTCCCAAAACTTGGTTGAAATACGGGAATAACATGGCGATTATCGTTGTGGATGCTACGAACATGGTCCGTAAACACATCCGGAGAATGCTTAATCGAAAAGCTTTCACAAGTGGGAGTTTCACTTTGAAATCCTTGTGTATGTATCCATTGTCGGGGAATTTCTGAGACACCCATTTTTCAACGTTTGCAAATAGTGGTTGACTGTAAACCTGATGAAATGAGAGCATGGACACAAAACACCTATGTTATTTGATCGGATTCGGGTCTGTGTCTATTCATTTGAAGGATTTTTAGGTCATATTTCCATATATATGTTCCTAATAATGATGATGTTCAGCTGAACTAGAAAATCTAGTACCTGATATCCTCCAACTAGGTGGATAACAATGCACATATTGGCAAAGTTTATGAGCCAATACGGTTCGTAAAATCCGAAACCAGTCAAGAGGTTTCCTGGTGTATTATCGCCGAAGGCTGCATATCCAAGTGCTCCACAACAGATATAGAAGAAGGTTGTTGCTGAAATTGATATGACTGAGGTTGTCTTCATGGTGTCTATCTCTGACGGAGGTGACAAAGTATCCTTCAAGTTTTGAAAATTGTAATCATCATCAGTTCAGCATATAACACATCAATTATCAGTTTCGAAATCGATATGAAGTCATGTTTAATGGCGGAAGACCTGTATCTCAATAAGAATTAGGGAGTATGGATAGGCGAATGCTATGTCTCCAAGTGCTTAAGAAACCAACCAGACTTTTTCACCATTAGTAGATGTTGAGATTCCTCGGATGGAACCCATAGCAAAACCATTTGCTGCAATTTTAACAAGATCAAATGGGTAGGATCTTTGTCAATTTCTTCCAAATATTCTACAATGAGAAATTTGTATTTACAAATATCTAGGATCATCACTTTACCTATGACTTTAACAATGCCAAGTGCAAGACCAATGACAGAATAAGCAAAGGACATGATTGCAGCAACCACTGATAGCCATTGTATGTTGTGGAAATTATTTATCTGAGATAGTATTAATTGAATAGCTCCGAAAGCTAGCATGTATTGAGCATCTCCAAAATAGCATTCAGCATCATTCCCTTCTTTGTGGTAACAGTTCGATTTTTGAATTGCTCTGCATTCACAAGTAGAACAGGCATTGACAACCAAAACCATACCTCTCAAAAGAGGAGAATCAATAGCAACAACCTATGTTACCCGGAACCGGGTGCGAGTGTCCTTGGAGGGTTCTTTCATGTATGTTCATTCTTTTCAAGTTTTTTCATGTATGTGGAAGGCCCTTTGAGAGTCATATCTCATACTCTTGTTTATATATGCATCGGGTGCAAGTGTTGGACATAGGTACTTCAAGAAAATGAAGAGTCAAAGTAACATAAGAGCAGCGTCTTTTGACTGAACTAGTCATACGAAATTAGGATCGAGCAGTGGGAGTAAAAGGAACTTGATAACACACCTCAGGCTAATAGCAGATGTAATTGTATATGCTATTCCCATACCATACAAGCCTATCTGAACAAAAAGGCCGCAAATCCTTGCATTCGTTTGCCCTGAAAATCCATGTTAAGCAACTAGAATTTATTACCAACTAGCAAACAAACAGTGAAGTATGGTCTTAGTAGCCGCAGGCATTTGATTTCAATATAAGGATTGGTCTCTTTTATATCAATGGCATGGTTCTGGTGCATGATTTTGACTGAAAATTACTTGGTTTTTCAAGTTCTTTTTCCTATTAATAAAGCCTGATTAGATTTGATTTTAAAGTTTAAGCAGTTCAGAAATTCTTGGAGATTACCCAATCCCTGATGCACACATCACAGCATAGGCAAGGTAAAGTATGATTTTTTCTAAATACCAGCAGAAGATGGTCCAGACAAGTGGAAACTCAGGAAAAGGATTACGTGAAAGAAAGGAATTTAGTGATCAAGGTGGTGGACATGTATGCACTATATGATCAATCCATAGCTCCACTAGGGCCCCACCACACATCATCATCACCATATTATTCAGCAGCAGAATTAATATTCATGTTCATCATCATCACAACATTTAAGAAATAACCAATGAATTTAACTTCATGCGTTAAACTAAAAATATTCATATTATATTTATATCTAAATTTTCGATATGGGTTTATATTTGACAATTAAATTCAAATTTAGCTAATTATGATAGAATCTAAATCCTTGTGGAATTTCCCTTGATGCATGGATTACACTACAAAAGAGTGATGAAAAGAAAATTCTTGCAGAACTATAGAATTATGAGCATAAAAACTATCTAATCCTTTTTTCTATGCTGGGTTCAGTGATTTAATCTACCATTTCATATCTACCAATATTTTCTCAATTCCCTTGTAAACTCTAGCAGGCAATCGTGCAAACACTAGATACGTTTTTTTCTTCTTCAGACTTTTAAATCTATCAGCAGTATTAAACATCATTAATAAGATATTTTGAATTCTTTAATAAAAATCTGGAGTATATGTAAATATGATGAAGTGTTCAATAATCTCACCTAAATTGATATTAACAGCATCGATGTAGGACCGATTTCTGACCGGTCCAACTTCAGGATCGGTAGTTTTATAACAGTTGCAGAGAAGGTAAGTGGAAATCAAAGTGACCGATGCGAAGAGCAGCATAGCCAAAGGACCAAAGGTCCAGCGATCCACCCCAGTTGAGCCATGCTCCACGCCAGCGATAGCACACCGGCGCCTATGACGCTCGTTATTATATGCGCCACCGCCGTCCATACGGTACCTTCATCGAACCATCAATCGAAATTTCGAATTATTGAATAAATTTCATGTTAAAAACAAAATAATGATCCACAAGTGGAAATGATTATGAAATCGTGAAATTAATATCGAAACTAAGGGAAACATATTACTTACAAGTTCTACGGGGGGGCTTACGAGGTCGTGGCTGGTTCGTATTGGCCAACAACGGGGCTTGATGATCTGAATGCGCTTCTTCCATGCCGTTTTTTATTTAAGTGTAGCACTCTTTTTACTCTAACTCCCTTACTTCCTGTAAAGAAAAAAAAAGAATATTGGTTGATATTTATAGATGAAGATTACGTACAAAGAAGCAACTTCGAATTTGAATTCCATTGAAGAAAAAGATGCGATGTGTAGTACTTTCGTGTTGCATATTAAACCTAAGCAAACTACCAGAAATTTACTGAACTTTCTTGAAGATTTAATTGAAAAAATAGGCAAGAGCATGCTTAGTAGTACGATTATATGTAATGTCACTATCATTTTAAAAAATGTACTAAAATTGTAATATATACTTAATAATGAGATGTAATACGCTGGTTGTTGACTTTATGTTTTAATTATAAAATCAGGGTTCAATTTTCATTCATAAAAATTAAATATATTTTATAATCAATTGCTTCTTTTTACGATAAAAAAATTAATAGAAATTTCATGCTCAACATAGTTTTATACAATAAAACTTATTAAATATCATGGGAAATTCTATTTTACGTTGTTTGCGTGTTTGATTTTTTTTAGTTTGGCGTAAAATAAGACATTGTCATGATTTCAACATGGGGAAAATTAGATAACCACACTCCTTTGAGGTCACATTTCCCTTTAAAGAAAAAACAAAATCAGCACTACTTAATTAATAATGATGAAGGCTGGGTTTGTGCAGCTGTAAGGCTAAGAATCCAACCTCTAACCTAACCCAACCTTCCAACTCATTGGCTTATCCAATACTTCTGACATTAATTCGAACTCTACCACCCATTTGTTGCATGAAAATAATTAACACGCTCTTCGATTACTTTTATTTATTCACTTTTAAATAATAAAAATATTATTTAATTTCAATTATTATTGTAAATAAATTAATAGGATATATAAATGTTAAGCGTAAAATTCATTATTATGCTAATAAAAAAAGGATACATTAATAACTTTTTTCACGATGTGGGACTAAAATAATATTTTTTGTAACATTAATGACTGAATTAACAAAACGTATAGTTGAATTAACAAAATAGAAACACACTAACTGAATAACTAAATTTATGATTTACCCTAACATTTATTTTAAGGTACTTTCTATCTTTTCAAAATACTTTTGTATAATTTTAAAAAATAAAATAACTAGAGCCATTATCAAAGGTTTAAGGATGTGAGATAAGGATATAGTCAAAGAAATTACAACAATGCTATTAGTTCGGCATTCAAGGATTTAGCTTGTCATGCGGAACATATCAACTCGACGACGTATTGCACTTTGCCGATGTTCAACTACATTAATTTTTATGGGAAATACCGTCCTGATCTTTCTGCTAGTGAACGTCGCAAAGGGAATGAAGGACTTGCTTCCCCCACGTTACTGCCATCAGCATCAGAGAAAACTAGTGGCAGTCAACAGCTAATATGAAGCACTTGCTTATCTAACTCTGATGATATGAAGCTGCACCAACAGAGGTTGGAACATTCAGGAGTAAACTGATCAATATACTGAAAATTGCATTTCCACCCACTGTATATCTGAACATAACAGATTGTAGTTTCCAACAACTTTTAGCTTATCACAGCAATATGAACAAATTGATTCACTTATGCGACTGACGATCTTTACCCTATCTTTGATACATTTCAAATCAAAATTGATTTACCATATCGTAATATGAGGTCAAGAAATAAGGTGGCAGCGCATAAATTTGCAGAAAACCCTCACTGACCATTTCTGTAAGAACTTCTGTTGCCTTTGATGTATAGCTGTTTCGAAGAAGCCCTTGGATCATTACATTATAACAGCAGCTATTAGGCGAGCAACCATTATCTTCCATGCTCCTAAACAATTGGCATGCTTCATCTGGCAATCCCACTGTATAGAATCCATTAATAATTACAGTATATGTGTAAACATCGGGTTTTAAACCATTGACTGAGAGTTCACGAAATATTTCCTTTGCAACTTCGATGTGGCCAGCTTTGCACAAGCCATTAACCCACACTGTTCTGCATTGCTCGGAAAACTCTCAATGCCTCTTCGAGTTTACCACCTCTGCAGCAACCATCCAGCAGAATGGAACAGGTCACTAGATCTGGAACTTGTCCAAAAGCCAACATCTTTCTCCAAAGTTCCTGCAGCTGAAATCATCCGTAATTGAAACATACCTTGCATAAGAGTGCTGTACATGACAACATTAGGCTCAATGACTTGCTTTCTCATTGTACCGACAATATCTTCAGCTTTAGAAACCACCCCTTTCTTGCAATGTGCATCAACCAATGTGTTGTACGTGACAACATCAGGCTCAATGTCTTGCTTTCTGATTGTGTCGACAATATCTTCAGCTTCAGAAACCATCCCTTTCTTGCAATATGCATCAACCAATATACCATACGTGACAACATCAGGCTCAATGCCTTGCTTTCTCATTTTATCAACAATATCTTTAGCTTCAAATATCATTCCCTTTTTGCAATACGCATCAACCAATATAGTATAAGTGACAACATTAGGCTTAAGCCCTTGCTTTCTCATTGTGTGAACAGTATCTACAGCTTCAAAAATAAGCCCCTCCTTGCAAAACGCATCAACCAATATATTATATGCGACAATATTAAGTGAAATATTGTTACCCTTCATTTCATTCAAAAGCTTTGTTGCCTCCTTCTGCTGGCCCGAATTAAACATAGCAAGAATTAAGCAATTGTAAGTAATGATATTTGGTCTATTGCCCTTAACCTTCACCTCGGAGAAGAGATGGAGAGCCTCCTTTAACAACCCACACTTACAAAGACAATCAATGACAGTGTTATATGCTACAATATCGGGTTTGAAACCATCTGTTTCCATCATCCTTAGTAATCTAACAGCTCTACCGGTATCACCAATCTTACACAACCTGTTTTGTACTGTAAGTAATTAAATGAGGTTGATACCTTTTTCAACCATTCCATCAAACAAACTCGCAGCCTGTGATATCTTTCTTTATTTGCGAAGTCCATTAATCAAAGTGGACAAAGTTACGGGAGTAGGTTCAACACCTATCTTCAGCATTTTCCCCAAAACGAAAAACCTAAAATCAGTTTGACCTAATTAACAAAAGCAATTAATCAAGACACTCAAAGAATAAGCATCGTGAGGAACTACTACTAAGTCCATCTGGCTACGCATAGAAACAACAGTGGCATGATGTTTCATTCGAACAGTGGCTCCAAATAATTTAGTGAACTCCACAATCGAAGGCTTTGGGCATTTCTGAATCATCTTATTAAACGAAGTCAGAGCTTCAACAATATTATCGAAGTGGTCATGATTCTTCCGGTTTCCCCTTACAGACATGGAATTACTTAAAGCTTTGTAGTGGGTAGCAAGGATTTTAATAGAAGAAGAAAAAGAAGAGTGGAAAGTATCGTTCGAGCATTGACAATTGAAACAAAATGAAAATGAGTACGAATTAATTTTTTTAAATCGAATGATCATTTGTTTAAAAAAAATAAACAAAGTGATCAAATATTTTACCCTATAATTAATATTACACTAACTTATTAATTCCCTTTTCTTTTCTAGCTTACCTCGCCCGGATTCTCCTGAGAAACAAAACAATGGGAAGAAGAATGGGTGACGGCCGCTCACCTGCTGCTTCCTCCTCAGTTCTTAACCACAGTATACTCAGCCGTCGACTCTAATCTTGTCAACATTCCTACTCCACCGTCGATGAAATCGTCGATCACCTTCGAACTAACTACCCCGATTACAAACGCATCAAGCAACAACCTTTAACCAGGGCCATCCAACAAGCTCTTCAATCCTCTTCCAAACACACCCAAAAGACGCCTCCTTCACATTCTGATTTCAAATTCGATAATGATAGTGACGAACATGAGCATGACATTGCAGCTTCTTCTTCCTCGCCTTCGCTTTTGCGTTCGCGGAAGAAGCTTAAGAGAACCAATGTCACTGAGCAAAGGTTGCAACGTTTAGAGGAATCGCACATTGAAATGAGACGGATTCAGCACGATGACTCATGCTCGAGCTCTGTAACGGACTCATCATCTTCATCGGAAGAAGTAGGCGAGGCAGTTTCTGTTGGAAAATAAACCAAGTACCTATAGTCAGATTAGTGAGAATACGAAATAAAAACAGAAAAATAATACCCGAAATTGATAACGGAGTTCAGCCAATTGTGCTTACGTCTCCGGATTGCTGCAGATCTTTTACTAATAGAGAAAATTTACAGGTGTTTATAAAACACTCACTACTCACAAGAAAGCTCTCTAGTATTGAGAGAAAGAAATGATTTTTGGGATTGTTTTGAAGCTAAATCATCTAGGATATTTATAGTTGAAATTTAAGGACTTAATCTTATAAATACCCTAAAGCCTAGGAATTAATTGTGATTATCTCATTATCATTTTTCAACAAACATCTACCAAACTTTAAAAAACTATTTTTCAAAGAAACATTTACCAAACTTTGAAAACCATTTTCAAATAAACATTTACCAAACTTTGAAAACTATTTTTCAAAGTTGGTTACTAAACTTGAAAACCATTTTAATAATTTCAACAATCTCCCACTTGAAGACTGATTTTAATCTGTCTTCACACCTCGATTAATGCAACAGCTTTTCTAGTCTTGTTACTCTAGCATGCCAACTGAAGTTGAACACAACTTCAGTTTGTCTGTAGTCACCGGCTTTGTCAACATGTCTGCCGGATTTTGAGCTCCACTGATCTTTTCAAGTTTCAAAATCCAATCTTCCAGAAGAGACCGGATAAAATGATATCGCAATTGTATGTGTTTTGTCCTGGAATGAAAAGACGGATTCTTTGCTAGATGTATAACACTTTGACTGTCGCAATACAATACATTGTTTTCTTGTTTCTTGCCTAACTCTTCCAAGAAACTTTGGAGCCAAACCATCTCCTTACTGGCTTCCGTAACAGCGACATATTCTGCTTCAGTTGTGGAGAGAGCAACTATCTTCTGTAGTTGAGAAACCCAACTCACTGCGGTTCCTCATAGAGTATAGACATACCCTGTAGTGCTCCTTCTGATGTCAACTTTTCCGGCTAAGTCAGCATCTACATAGCCTGTCAATATCGTATCTCCACCTTTGAAACAAAGTGTTTTGTTTGTGGTACCCCGCAGATATTTGAGGATCCATTTGACTGCTTCCCAGTGTACCTTGCCCGGATTATTCATGTGCCTGCTAACAGCTCCCACTACTTGAGCAATATCTGGTTTGGTACAAACCATGGCATACATCAGACTTCCAATTGCTGAGGCATACGACACCTTCACCATGTGTGCACGTTCTTCCTCTGTCTTTGGTGACTGTTCTTTGGAGAGCCTGAAATGAACACCTAAAGGTGTACTTACTAGTTTAGCATCTTGCATGTTGAACCTGGAGAGTACTTTGTTGATGTACTCAGCCTGTGATAATATCAAAGTCCCCGACTTTGTGTCTCTCTTGATCCTCATCCAAGAATCTGCTTTGCAGCGCCCAGATCCTTCATAGCAAACTGCTTTGACAATTTTTGCTTCAAGTTTATAATCTTTTGCATGTCTGAGCCTGCAACGAGCATGTCATCAACGTACAACAATAAGATAATGAAGCTATTATCGAACCTCTTGATGTAGCAACAATGATCTGCTTGGCATCTGGTAAAACCATTGCTACTCATGAAACTATCGAACTTATTGTACCACTGTCTAGGAGCTTGTTTTAAACCATACAAGCTCTTATTCAACCTGCATACCAGGTTTTTCTTGCCTACCTCTATGAAGCCTTATGGCTGCCTCATATAGATTTCTTTCTCCAAATCACCATGAAGGAAAGCTTTCTTTACATCTAACTGCTCAAGATGTAAATTCTCTGCAGCTACAATTTTCAACACCAGTCTGATTGTAGATAGCTTCACGACTGGAGAGAAAATTTCATTGTAATCAATACCTTCTTTTTGTTGAAAACCTTTGACAACTAATCTTGCTTTATAGCGTTTGCTCCCATCGTGCTCTTCTTTGATCCTGTAAATCCACTTGTTATGGAGCGCTTTCTTTCCTGGTGGTAATTCAGCTAATTCCCATGTCTGATTTGACATAAGCGAGTCCATCTCATCTTTCATGGAAGACTCCCACTTGACTGAATCCTCCACTTGCATTGCTTCATCATAGCACTCTGGTTCACCATTGTCAGTCAGCAACAAGTAGTGCAAAGAAGGAGAATACCGTTGGGTTGGTTTAGGAATTCTGGAGGAGCGTCTCAGTTCTGGTGTGCCTGGTTCTTCCTCTTGAACTGCTTCAGGACTGATCTGAACATCATTTCCAGAAATCTCCTCGAACTCAACAAATTCCTTTGTTTCAGCTTTTGTATTACTTGATTCTGCGGTTGACATGTCTTTGTACATCACATTTTCATTGAAAATTACGTCTCTGCTTCTAATGATCTTCCGATTTTCGTAGTCCCAAAACCGATAACCAAACTAATCACTACCGTAACCAACAAATACGCATTTGTTTGACTTGGCATCAAGTTTACTTCTTTCAACAGAGTTTATGTGTACATAAGAAATACAACCAAACACTCTTAAGTGTGAAAGGTTTATTTCTTTCTTGCTCCAAGCTTCCTCTGGTATTCCGCCATCCAAAGGAACTGAGGGCCCACGGTTGATCAGGTAAGCTACAGTGTTGATAGCTTCAGCCCATAGAAATTTGGGCAATCCGTCATGTATCCTTATGCTTCTGGCACGTTCATTCAGAGTTCTGTTCATGCGCTCTGCTACGACATTCTGCTGCGGTGTTATGGGAACTGTTGTCTCCATCTTGATCCCATTGTTTGCGCAGAAATCTCTAAATCTACTATCTCTGTACTCTCCTCCATTGTCAGACCTCAATCGCTTGACTTTTAAACCAGTCTCATTTTCCACCACGGCCTTCCATTTTCTGAAGGTATCGAAGACTTCTGATTTCTTCTTCAGAAAATAAACCCACACCTTCCTTGTTGAATCATCGATGAAGGTGACATAATATAGTGAGCCTGCAAGAGATGGAACTGGGGATGGTCCCCATACATCAGTATGAACCAATTCTAACATTTCTGCCTTGGGTGTTTTGCCAATGTTTGTAAAACTGACTTTCTTTTGTTTGCCAAAGATGCAATCCTCGCATAGTCCGACATCTAAATTCTTTAGATCCGGCAGCTTCCCTTTTGAAAGAAGTATCTTCATTTCTTTCTTGCTCATATGGCCAAGCCTTTGGTGCCATAGGTTTGATTTTCCATCAACATCTGCTACTACAATGATATTCTCTAAATTTGAGGTTACATAGAGAGTACCAGTCTTCTTACCACGAGTATTGACGAGTGCTCTTTTGGTAATCTTCCATTCACAGCCTGAAAAGGTTGTACTGTATCCTTCTCCATCAAGCTGTCCTACAGAAATCAAATTTCTTTTGAGACCAGGAATATGTCTCACTCCTGTCAGCTTCCAGGTGGTCTGGTTTGGCAGCTTTAGTCGGATGTCTCCTTTTCCGACGATCTTCAAGGTTTCATCATCAGCAAGATGAACCTTCCCAAAATCACCACTGACATAGTTCTCCATGATTTCTTGGCATGACGTGGAGTGAAAAGATGCCCCTGAATCCAAAATCCATGATTCAATCGGACTGCTGACGCTTAAAATCATAGCATCACCTGTCTCCTCCGTCATGTTGGCAGATTCCTGTGCGTCGGTATTTTTCTTCGGTGCTCGACAATCTTTTTTGAAGTGGCCCTTCTTGCCGCAATTATAACAGGTAAAATCTTTATTTCCTGTTCTTGATTTTCCCCTTCTGGATTTCGATCTGCCACG